ACAGCAGACCTAGACATACGCCATATTCATTCTACTCCAAACGCGAGACTGCAAAGGTTAATAGCGTTCAATATAATTAATTTAACTTTTTATAATATAAGCACCATAATCGTTCGTGTTATTAAATGCACAACTAAAGATTAAACAGGGCAATGCCACAGCAAAATATTTTCCCACCTTGATGGACAGTCGTCTTGTCCATTCTCATACAAATTCGGACGTGATAAAGATAAAATAATTGTCAACACACCTACGAATGATGTTTGCCATACCTACCCGACGTGTTATCGTATACTCATTACGTTTCCAAATGCTTGCAATAAAAGTCTCGCAAGTGATTCAGGTGGGAATCGAACCCACGACCACCAGATAACTAGCCTGGTTTTTTAACCACTCGACCACAGAGCTTGCGCTTGGTGGCTAGTGATGAATCCGATCCCCGAGTATTTCTCCTGACGAAAAAAACGCCATGTCTTCCCACTAAAAACACGAAATAACTATATGGTCTTCCAGACTAACTGCACCACTACAGAAATGTCGAACAGAAACCGTGTCATTTCGTTTCAAATCCACCCCCCCCCTCCCCATTCAAATAACATTGAATACAGGTAAGCCTACTAGAAGGTTAGAAATATCGGCTAATCACCCATCTTTCACTTCTAATTATTTGGCAATATCAACACGATGTTGGTTGAATGTTACAACGGTATAGGGTTACGATGCTATGGTCACATTTCCAATTACAAATACACACAATCCGTCTGTATGGACTTCAAGTGTCCGCGTAATTTCTCTGTCTGGTTAGTGGACAGAGACAAATGAGATAATTTCGATAATATTGTCTGGAAATAATGGGGTGTTTGTCCGTTTAATTAAATATCTGCCACATTTCTTCTTATTACTTCTCAGAGCTCCAAATTTTAAAGGTTATGTCTTAATAATATTTTAAAAAATCAAACACAAAATTACATAGGCCTACCATGGAGGTATACCTCCATGGGCCTACTAACCATTCATTTAAAAAAAAATTCAAATTCAAACTTGTGCCATATTTCGTTAATTAGAAGGTTGACCATCAACCACCGGAAAAAACGAGTTATGTTTAGTAGTAACATGGAGGTATAAAGTAATAACAATCTTATAAGCTGACTGAAAATATGTAATGTGCAGGAAGTCTTCCGTTTATTTAATCTTCTTATCGTGTCTACTGCGTGGTGGTAGTAGTAGTAGTAGTAGTAGTAGTAGTAGTAGAATTGGCGTTAACCAGGGTCGCGACCAGATGCAGCGTAGCTCAGCCGGACAAACTGGTGGTAGCCATTGTGTGTGCGCTGAACCATGGAGATCTCTAGGTCCCCGGTTCAATTTCCATCGTCGCTCTCCTTGTATTTCAGCTAGAGGGCTAAAATGCAAGTTGCGATAGCGCACCGTCTTTTGGATGAGATGTTTAAGCCGTTGGTCCCATGTGCATTATGGCCCATGTGCACGTAAAAGAATACAGAACACTCTTCGGAAAAGAGTAGGGGGATTGTCTCCCGGTGTACTGCCCAATCACCACCAGAAGAACCCCACTGGAAATAAGTTCTTTTCTACACTTTCGTGGGTTATCCTTGGTGTTTACACAGAATAAATCCAAATCCACCATAACCCTGTAAGTTTTAGTAAAGCACAGGTTCAATTTTGTCTTGTAACTTAATTTTTGAAAGTTTTATTTTGTAATGTGTTGTTCATCCACGATATAAATATTACATTCCTACATTATTTGCACTGATACTAATGTACCTTTCATACAAAATAGGCCTACTACTTACATTCTTAAATACATACGTTATGCAAAGACTAACTGTACATCGGTCTTACGGAAGCTTAAAGTGACCTTCCAGATGTCTAGATAATTATCTCGTCATGTCTACATCCTGTAGGAAAGAAGATCAAATGTTGCGATTCTGGATCTCCTCATGTCTACATTTTTCAGAAGAGATGATCACATGACGAGATGCTAGATCTCGTCATGTCTAAATCTTTTAGAAGATCTTGGATCTCGTCATGTGTACATCATTTAGAAGAGATGATTATATGACGAGATCTTGGATCTCGTCATGTGTACATCCTTTAGATGAGATGATTAGATGACGAGATCTTGGATCTCGTCATGTGTACATCCTTTAGATGAGATGATTAGATGACGAGATCATGGATCTCGTCATGTGTACATCCTTTAGAAGAGATGATTAGATTACGATTACGAGATCTTGGATCTCGTCATATGTACATCGTTTAGAAGAGATGATTAGATGACAAGATCCTGGATCTCGTCATCTGAACATCTGGAAGGTCACTATTAGCTTCCGTAGTCTGCATTGCACTGAGTTATGTTGTCAGAACTCTAGGCCTACACACGTCACTTGCATTCGATGTGGATATCGCAATTTTTTAACGAGAATTTAAAAAGCAGAAATTCTATTCTTCACAAAAATTGCCTGGTCATTTTAGCAGGTAATTGCAATGTAAGGGTCTATAAAGAGAACACTGTACGTCGTTTAAACCCACTATAAAGCAATCCTTCACTGAATTACAGAATTAGTTAATGCTGTACAGTATACCGTACATTAAACTATACCGTAGTAAGTACAAATATTAAACTCTCCCAATTACGAAAATGTTACATAAGCTAAGAAATAAAACTTTTAAACCAATAAATTGCCATAAAACTTCCTTTAAAACAAAAAAAAATATCAATCGTTTTTAGCCGAGATATATTCCATTTTGACCTGTGCTTGTTCAGGCAGCAACTACGAATAGAAAATCTCATTTGTTGTTCATTGGGGGCGCTATTCTATGGCCAACCGAATTGTCATCTAATTGTAAATAGAGATATCTATATTTATAATATACATAGGCCTATATTTAAAATTTAGATATCTCTATTAACATATATATATATATATATATATATATA